TTTTCATGGTAATTTTCTCGTTACATAGTGCTTTAACTCTATTGTCTTCTCTATATTAGGCAAACCTAAGAAAGAAGTTTACATTCAAGAGATTCTGGTAGTTTGAGACTCCTCTAATGTGTTTCCTGACGAACTATCCGGACTACCGGTAGATAGGAAAGTTGAGTTCACCATAGATCTTTACTTGGATACCCAACCTATCTCAGTGGCCCCTTACCGCATGAGCCGTATCGAGATAGAAGAACTCATAAAACAGATCAATGAATTGTAGGACAGTATGTTCATCCAGCATAGTATATCTCATTGGGGTGTCGGAGTCACATTTACAAGAAAATAAAATGAGACATCACGATTGTGTATTGACTATAGGGGATTAAACAGAGTCACAATCAAGAACAATTACCACATTCCCAGAATTGATGACCTTTTTGACAGTTGCAGGGTACCCAAGTCATCTCCAAAATAAATTTGTGTTCGGGTTACCACCAATAAAATATCAAGACAGAGGACATTCCCAAGATAGCTTTCAGAACTAGGTACGGACATTATGAGTTTTTGGTCGTACCCTTTGGACTAACTAACGCACCAGCCATTTTTATGGACTTGATGAACAGAATTTTCAGACAATTCTTATATCAATCCGTCATTGTGTTTATCGATGATATCCTAATTTATTCAAATAGTAGAGAGGAACACACTCACCACCTGACTCAGGTTTGCAAGTTCTCAGAGAGAAGAAACTGTATGCAAAATTAACTAAGTGAAGTTCTGGCTTGAACAAACTACCTTTGTAGGACATATCATATCAAGGGATGAAATATCAGTGAATGCCAAAAAAATTGAGGCAGTGCTCAGATGGAAGAAATCGATCTTGGTCAAGGAGATTCGTAGTTTTCTGGGAATGACAGGTTATTACAGCATGTTTGTAGATGGATTTTCTAGTCTAGCCGCTTCTTTGACCTAGCTCATAAAGAAGAATGTTAAGTTTGAATAGAATGAGAACTGCGAAAGAAGTTTTACAGAACTCAAGAAATGGTTGACTACTGCACCCGTGTTGGCCTTACCGAATGGGACAGGTGGATATACAGTTTATAGTGATGTCTTTTACCTGAGGTTGGGTTGTATTCTAATACAGCATGATAAGGTCATCGCCTATGAGTCCAAACAGTTGAAGAGTCATGAGAAAAATTATCCCACCCACGACTTAGAACTTGCCACTATTATTCACATTTTGAAGACTTAACGCTACTGCCTGTATGGGAAGATTTATGAGATTTTTACTGACTATAAGAGCTTGAAGTACATATTCACTCAGAATGATCTGAACATGCACAAGAAGTGTTGAATAGAGCTCCTCAAGGATTATGATTGTAATATTTTGTATCACTAGGTAAGAGAAACGTAGTAGCTAACGCGCTGAGCAGAAAAAGTGCAGATATGTTAGCTCACCTAATAGTTTCTGAATACAGGGTAATAAGAGCTGTACAACAGTTATGACTTCAGGACTTGAAGAGAGTTGCATGTTTAGCCCATCTGACTGTCCAACCTGAATTGATTCATAGAATAAAAGAAGCCTAATTAATCAATTCAACCTTAGCCGCCATCAAGAAAGATATATAACAGGGAGTACACCTAGAATTTCAAGTCTCTGCTGATGGACTGTTTAGGTTTCAGGACAGAGTGTATGTTCCAGATGACAATGAACTAAAGAGGGAGATCATGATAGAGGCTCACAGCTCCAAGTTCACCATACATCCCGGAAGTACAAAAATGTGTCAAAGTATGCGACTCCAATTTTGGTGGAGTGGGATGAAAATAGAGGTAGTCGATTTTGTTTACAAGTGTTTAGTATGTCAACAGGTTAAGACATAACATTAATACCCAGACATACTATTTCAGCCATTACCGATCTTGAAGTAGAAGTGGGAACATATCACAATGAATTTCGTGATAAGATTGTCTAAGGCACGTTCAAGACATGATGCCATTTGGGTAATTGTCGACCACCTCACCAAGTCTTCTCACTTCTCGGCTATCAAAATGACCGACCTCTAGGACAGGTTAGCAAGAATGTATATCCGAGAGATAGTCAAGTTACATAGAGTTCCAGTGTCAGTGGTATCCAACAGAGATCCCAAGTTCACTTCTCGATTTTGGTCTAGTTTTCAGCAAGCCACGGGAACAAAACTGTCTCTTAGCATCGCATTCCACCCTCAAACTGATGGACAATCAAAGAGGACAATTCGCATATTGGAGGATATGCTCCGACCTTGTGTTCTAGAGTTCGGGGACCGTTGGAATGATCACCTACCTTTGATAGAGTTTGCCTACAATAACAACTACTAGAAAAGTATAAGCATGGCTCCATACAAGGCATTGTATGACCGCCTATACAGATCACCGATCTGTTGGGAAGAGGTGTTTGATAGAAAATTATTCGGCCATATCTTATGGAGGAGACTATTTCTTTAATTACCGTTTGTCTTTTAGAAGGGACATTCTTATAGCCCTATTGGGCATTCAAAATTATTGTATAAGGAATGTAAACCTTAACTCTGTTAATCACTTCTACATTTAATTTATGAATTTATTTCTATTTAAGGTTCTAGCTCTTTACAACTTATATGTTTTGCTTATTTATTACTATACTGCTTTGTTTACTTACCGCTACTTCATGCACTTTAATTCATTGATTTTAATTACTTTCTTGTTTATTAATTGATTCAATCGTTTTATCCCTAACAGTTAATTGGTTGGAAATGAATGTCTTGATTGTGCTTTCTTTGATTATTAAGTATTAAACTATATTGTGTATTTAATGATCGTTTTATTTACCTGTAATTATGAAATGAGATTACTGTTTGTATTTGGTGGCTAAATGATGATATGGACATGTATATGTTAGTTAACGTTATCAAACTAAAAGGCTTACCTAGTGTTATAGAAAAGTGGTATATGGACCCCGTACATAGGGCAAACCCTACCGTGGACATTACCCTCAGTCGAACAGAGCTGAGAAGTCTCATACCATAAGTAGTTGGGAAGTGTTTTGTTCACGCTCATATCGGATGAGGTATTGAGGCAGTGGTACGTTTGGCACCTATTACCCAATGATGTATGGGAACAGCTGGTTGATTAATAGAATAGATATTGTGTCCACGTATAGTGGAAACCCCTATGGACCTCCAGCGGCACCGGTAAGTAAGTAAATAGGTACGTTGATTACTGTTGGTATCTTATAATAGATGATGTGCATTGCTATTCTATTTTCCTCCTTCATAAATGGTATTTGGGAACTTAAATGTAAGTAATAAATAAATATTTTCAAGTTAAATGAATTTACTTAAAAAGAAAAATAAGCTCTATTGTTGTTTTACGAATTTTACCAACCTTTGATTTTTTGTATCGGTAGTAAAGTGTTGATATTTTTACTTAGTTAATGTAGTTCACTCCCTTATTATTAACAATTTTATATCATGACGACAAGATCCGGATCCTGAGTAGTAAGAGAGTTAGCAAATAAAAGGTTGTCTCTTGCTTTTTCTCAGTTATACAGCGGAAGTTGATCGCATTAGGTCTTTAGTTTGCTTTTTTTTTTTTTTTTTTTTTTTACATTTTTAATTTTCTTAAAAAATATTCATGTATCCCTATTGGACATTTTAATTAAACCTGCAAGGAATGTAATCCTTGAAATTAGTAAACTACTTATGCAAACTTATAAATTTCAATATTATTATTTAGTATAAATGTTTGGGCGATTACAACATGACTTTTTTTTTTTAAAAAAAAATATATGAAGTAACTTATACCGAATTTTTATTATTATATTAAATATTACGTGACAGCTAACGTGAGTTAATAATTTATCAGAAGATATCTTGTGTCAAAAAATAAATTATAAATATGACATCTATAGTTGATGGTGTCAGATGTCAATAACAAAAAAAAAATTATACAAAATTTAAAACATTGTATGAAATTACATGAAATAAATTAACATAAAATTAAATTAGAGATCACGTAGAACAAAATAGATAGTACAATGACTAAAATTGTACTTATTAACATTTATTTATGCATATGTATATACACTACCTAACTTAACCTAACAAATTTAATTAAACTCATTGAAAGCAAGCTAAATTGACTCCTCATATACAAGAAAACCCTACCTTAGCAATAGTGTTTTTTTTTTTAATTCTCTTTATTAAAAAGTTTTTGGTAGAGTAGCTTCCAAGTACAAGTCATTTTGTAACTATACTCAAATTTTATATTTGCAAATTTCCTCTTAATCTTTGGAAATTGGGTTGGGCCCATAAAACATTGTGAAAATTGGCCCAATTACAAATCCATCAATAAGGACCTCAGTTGGGTTCAACCTGGTTTCTAGTTTTGTGTAGATTTGGACCCATGAAAATATTTCAACTCGGTCCAATTATAAGTCCACTACTTAGGCCCTTAATTGGGTCGAACCTGGTTTCTAGTTTCGTGTAGATTTGGACCTATGAAAATATTGTCAAATTGGTCCAATTATAAGTCCACTAATTAGGCCCTTCATTGGGTTGAACCTGGTTTCCAATTATTTCAACTGGGTCCAAGTATTAGGCCCTCTGATTGGGTTCAACCTAGTTTCTAGTTTTGTGTATTTGATTTGAACCCATGAAGATTACTCCAAATTGGTCCAATTATAACTCCACCAATTAGTCCCTTAATTGGGTTCAACCCAGTTTCTTGTTTTGTGTAGATTTGGACCCATGAAGAAATTTCAAATTAGTCCAATTATAAGTCTACTAGTTAGACCTAGGTTTGGACCCATGAAAATAGTAAAAGGGATCCAATTACAAGTTAACAGTAACATTCCCTTGGTAATGAAGTAACGATTCTCCATTGGGTTTTCAAATATATTGAAAAAGTCAACATCTTTGACCAATAATAATAATTTTTAAAAATTGTTCAAATAAATTTGTGTATTAAAAAAGGATATCTGAATTGAGAGAAGATTACTGAAAATGGGTAATTTATTTAAAGAATTAACTGATTTACACTCAAACAAAATGGGGTTTAAGAAAACAAAAATAAAGAACACCACCTTAATACATGATGAATGTTTATGAAAAAACATTTTAGACAAGAGAATCCTTGTTTGCTTTATTAGCATCCTGATTTTCCTTGTCTTGAGCCAGAAGAAGTAGTGTTTCATCCTTGTCTTTCATCTGCAATATTAACCAAAAAAGTAAAAAAAAAAAAAAGGAGAAACACCCACCAATTTTCACTAATTCCCAATTAATCATGAATTGCAGAAAAATAAAACAAAAAAGAAAAAGAAAAAACCTGAGAACCGGAATCGGCGCCGGAGTTTTTCTTCTTGTTGTCCAAGTTACAGAAATAAGAATACAATCCCATTCCAAAGACAGCAACTAGGATGCCAATTATGTTTCTGGGTGTAAAAGGATCATGTAGTAATGTGTAGCCAAATGCAAGAACAAGACAAGTCTTGAGGTGCCCTAGCACTTGGTATGTAACTGGAGATGTCTTCCCTATTACCAAAAATGTACTGAAGTTCACAGACACTGCTATTACACATGAAAGAATTATGAACGCCTGCAGAATTAATGTCCAAAATTATTATTTATTCGGAGTAAAACTTTGCATATTTCAATACTTAAAATGACAGGTACAAATTCGTATAGTTGGTTTAGGAGTAAGAAGAGAGAATGCAGACATACCAAGACTATAGGAGAATATTTATAGGCAAAAACATTTTGCTTGGTAAGTAATTTATCCACAAAAGGGCCAGAGACAAAGAGAATAGCAGCTTGAAATGGAGCTGATTGATACAGCAACTGGGTAGATGATACATTCAGCTTCTTTTGAATTGTATTTGTCAGCTTAGTTAATTATATAGTTAAGGAAAAAATTAAATATATTATACATATAAAATATAATTTTACGTTATGATTAAAATTAGATGATTTATAAAAAATTAAAAAGAATAATGAGTGCAAAAGGGATACAATTTGACCAACACAAGTTGTGATAATGGCCAGTAGGGAGAGCACAGTTCCAAGAAAGTTGAGCTGGAGATCTGTTACAGAAGCAATGCCCACTCCAACAAGTAAAAGGAACAGAGACAATTTTATCTTCTGGCTGCAATTATATATATATATGAAATAAATAATTACTACTAAAACAAATAAAGAAATTAGTTAATTTGTAGAACATATAATTCATATTAATCAAGTCACCTGAATTGCTTATTGAGGAAGATGGTTTCTAACAAGACAGTGAATGGTATGATTGCAAGTTTAGTCATCTGCAAAATTACAATACATCAATAACATTGAAATCTTTTTTCTGTTCTTTTCCCACTATCTTCTGTTTGGATCCAAAGAAAACTTGGGAAAATTTTAAAAAATAAAACAGAAAGTTCAAGTAAAGAAAGATAATGCAAAGGATAAAAAGAAGTTGCTTTTTATTGAAACTTTGTGTTTGGACTAATGTGAATTAGAGCTTAATTAATCACATTCCTGGGTAATTAAGATATTACACATGCATATATATATATATATGTGTGTGTGTGCGTGTGTGTATATATATATAGAGAGAGAGTAATTATATTTGAACCTGGTAGAATCCAATGGAGTTGAAACCAAGACTCAAGTTGAGAAGTCCAATAGAGACACCATTAAGGATGCCAAAGAGCACGACAGTCTTCAAGTCAATTGATTTGTTCTCAAATAAATTGAATCTATGTGCAGCATGAAGGGTGCAAAATGTTACCATCAAATGCCAACTGGTCAATGTTGTAGCTGCCCAGAAAATTGGAAAATTAAATTCAGTTAGCTTATGTATTTTTGATTATTTGAATTATATGTATGTATTTATATACGCATATATATATATATGTATATATGCATGTATGTAGGTACGGGAAAGTGAAATTACCAAAAGGGAAGCCAAGATTGCTCATCAAAGCTTTGTTACAAATAACAATGGAAACAGATGATGCCACTGAAAGAAACAGGGCACCGATCACACCTAACTGGAAGCTTGACATTTCTCCCATTCTCAATTTCTCCCTCACCTGAAATTAATCGAACTAATTCTTTTTAAAATCATTCATAAAAATTCCTTAACAACACACCTGTGGATCAAATGAACTTCGATCTAATTAAAAATATTTATTTTAACATAAAAATTGAAGTTGTAATGAATTAATAAGATGCTTAATTAGCACTCGTTCAGCTAGTTACAGTAATTACCAAAATTCAAAAGAGAAGACTTCAAAATAATAATGAAATTGAGAATGCTCCATTGTGCAGATATTTATATTGAATTAGATAAGAGAAGCTAAAGAAATATTTATATTGAATTGAATCAGAGAAATCAAAATCAAGAAGAAGAAGAAGGAGAATTGAGAGAGAGAACCTGCAAATGATAGTGACTCGATGTTGGAGAAAGGGAGATTAAGAACAGAAAAATGGAGCCTACACCTCCATACCTATTAATCGCCTTGACTCAGTGAGCAGCGAGACGACGACTCAGAGGTAGGAAATAAGTTGTTAAGGGTTAATCTCAAACTGAGTTAACTCAGACTGACGAGAGGGAGAGGGAGAGGGAGAGAGAGAGAGTGAAGGTCATGGAGATATTGAGAGGGAAGGGCTTTTTATTTTTGATTAGCAAAGGGAGGTTGGTGCCTAACCAACATTTTTCCTTTTTATTTTTGTTGTTTTTGGTATGTATCTAAATATTTTGAAACTATATATTTATTTACATATATATATATATAAAGGTAAATTTACAAAAAAAAATATATATATATTAAAGATTTAATTATTATGAAATATATTTTAAATATAATAAAATAAATAATTTTTAAAAAATATATCAAAGATTCTGAATATTTTGAAATATATTAAAACAGATAATTTAAGAAAAAAAACTTATTATTTTTGTAAACTTTTGTTCTTATTTTTTTTGTTTTATAAATTTTTACTTTTTAAGGTTATAATTTATAATTATGAAAAAATTTAAAAATTTTCTTTGACAATAAAACCTTTAAATTTTGATACCAATCTTCTCAAGGCCTCAAAAATGATGTATGGGAGTTTATATGACATCTACCCTTTTTAATCAATTGTGAAATAATTGATGAAAACATATTAATTTCCCACTAAAAGTTGATTAATTAGGATTTAATTTAAACATTTCATATATATATATATATATATACATACACAGTCTCATATATCTAAACGAATTAACATGTTTTACATCTTTTTCACGATTAGTTTTTCTCAGTTTTTATTATTTAGCTTGATTAATCTAATCGATTCTTTTTTCTTTTTTAAATGTTAAAAATCATCTTAGTGTAGCAGTGAAATCAGAAATAAGAGTAGCTCCTGATCTAATCTAAGATATTGAATTGCTTTTAGGTGATTCTTAAGAGACAAGCCAAGAGGAAGGTAAGAGATCATATATACATATATATACACACACACATGTGGGAGTGTGTATATATAAAATCTGCAATTGCAAGCAAGAGAGTTTGCCATCCTCGAACTCAATCATAGTTTGGTGAATAAATTCCCTTCAATTTTACTCCAACACATGAAAATAATAATAAACAAAATCCTCGACCTCTTTCGAACATCTCTATCACCAACCAAGAAAATCACATGAAAGTATTATTCTAATAGTCATCATTGGAGAGAATATGTATATATACTGGTTTCAGTAGTAACTGATTTTGCATATTCAAATCAATTTAGTTCTAAACCAATGAAGGCTTCAAAACAAGATCAAAAATAGCATATAAAATGGAATGGAGGTAAGTAACTTAATTCCATTTCATCCCCAAGTAGAAAGACATATCAGACCAGTTCACCCTTGTTAAATTTCTTCTAGTTTTGAAAAAGAATAACTCTTAGATTGGTTTAGTTCAAGTCAAAATTTCAACAGGCAGTAGATTTACCATATCTGATCAATTCCGGCTGCTCAATAACATCAACAATTCAAATATTACAATGATGTTCATGTCTAATGACAGAGATCAGATACCTGGCTGGATCACTTGGTTACTTATCATTCAAACAAATAATTTCTCTCAAAATAACTTCAGTTCTTGTGATTTTTGAAAAGTCACAATTCTTTTGTCATTTAATGTAAAACTACAGTAGTAATAGACAATTTACATGTATCAGAGTTTCTACAATTTAAACACAAACACCCAAAAGGTTAAACAAATAAAAAATTAAGAAAAATATTATAAGATAATAGCCCAAAGAAACTAACAATTTTTTGTAAAATGAAAAAAAAAAAAAAAATCAAGAGTGACCAAATTGTCAGAAAAAGCCAACATGAACTGAGTCGTAACAACTGCAAACAAAAAGGAGTGAAGCTGCAATTTACCCAAAAAGAATCCAGCTGTATCTAATTTGAAACCTAAGAAGAAAATTGCAATTCCAATTCTTTTAGCAATCAGGAAAGGAAAGATAATATTCCCAAATAAACAAAAAATAGAAATACAAAAGATAATATGAGGTAAAATACTCTATTACTAAAACTGATTTGTCCCGAGATTGTTATCTACAAGGCACGGCAGTGCAAAATAGGGTCGGAAATGAGTCTATTTAGGAAATTGAGTTGAATACAAGAATTGTGAATAAGCAAAGGAAAATATCAGAAGAAAAGAAAAAATATGGTCTTCCCTTATATATGACTGAGTATCTGTAAGGCAACAGAAAAACGTGGTTCGTAGAAGAGAGTTCACCGCCTTCTAACAAAATAAATTTGACATGCACTCTCAAAGCTAGCATTGTACTGTACAATGGAAAGGGGTGGATGAAGAATATGCAGGGGTACCGGTAGTTAATTTATCCTTTTCCCATTCTGTGCAAGGTATTCCCGGTCTGCATCAGCAAAACGGTCCTGAAATAAAGACCACTCCAGTCTGCACCTTTCTCTCACCTGTAATTGGAAAAATAAGAAATGGATAATGTAGTTTGGACCAATGGAACTTGAACTCTTCATTTTATATTGTTAGACATGCATCCTCTTGGATCTTTCAGAATCAACAAAGAAGCTCACAGAGAAAAAAATCTAATGCACAGATAGATAGCCCTACGAACATCAGTACCTAAGTCCAAGGGGCAAAAATGATTTAGAAATGTAAATCTCTTTTGTACTTGAAAATATTTTCCAGTTTTTATTTCTTAATTTTATATGTTTGTATGTGGTTATTCATAGAATCGTATATGGGTGGTTGGTTTGCAGAGTAATCAAGTGCAAATATTAAAAGCTTAAAAGAAACACTAATTTTTTCTTTTCAAGCTCCATCTTCATTTTAATTATCATTTCTTGAATATCAATTTCAATTTTATCTATACTCTGTTTTTAGGTGTATAAATATATATAAATTTAAGAAATGAAAATTAGAAAATGCTTTAATGTACTGAGTAAAGACTACATCAGCTAGTTTCATGTCTTTTCATTTTTCTACCTTCCTTTTCGAGGAACAGATATATAGGTTAACTTAATATTCATGTAACCGAAACTTCTCTTTCTCTGGGCTTCCAGAAAAGAAAGCCACAAAGAGAGAAGCAGAACATCTCAAATCAATCAAGTACCATAAATACACATACCCCTTCCCATGGAGCTTTCCCATCCTTTGCGACGCCCTGAAAATAAGTAGAGCTTAGTGTATGCAGCCACATTGGAAAAATAAGAAAGAAAATATAAATAAAGAAAACTCCAAATTCAGAACATAGAAACAACACCAAGAAAAAAAAGCAAAATGAAATAATGTCACGATTTAAAAGATCTTTATCTTTATCATTTTCCTCCAAATAAGGAAGTTCAGTGTTGGAGGCACCAGACTACAACTTGAAGAAAAAATATTAGATTTATAAAATTGAACAAGTAGATTGTGCAGGAAATTAAATTCATGTTGACGGCTCCATGCCCCATTCAGTAGAAAGCAATTCATGTTCACATAAGACCAAAGTAACAAAGGGTTACAATCGCCAACTATTTTCAGACTTTTGGTACAGTGCTGTCCATGTGGGACAATTACTCCATCTGTACTCTTCAAACGACCAAGTCACAACCTGCCTCCCCCAGCCCCCCAGAAGCATTCAGATGAAGGGTGCAAGTAACTGGGCTCCCAGTTAAATTTTTGATCTGCTGTGAATTCAAAATTCCCAGTCATTCACCATATTTACTCCCAGTCTCTTACCACGTTTATATTGCAGTTGATGCAGGAATCCATCAAACAAACTTCTGTCTTACAATAGTTAGATCCTACCGCAACTTTAGATATGTACATATTTTTTTAATCAGATGTCTGAGAGAATATTTTACCAGATCCAGAAATTATATTTAGAAAAGAAGAGACTAATAATACCAAACTTCATCCCATCATATTTAACCTTTCAAGTAGAGGTTTAAAAGACAACTTTTTTTCCTTTGATTGATGAAGACATTCTTAGATCTTGCTTTTAATATAAATGCTTTATACATCATTTTCTTCGTTGATTGTAGTTTAACCATGTGCTACATCCAGGTCAATAAACCAGGCAGCCTGGATTATTTGGTTTCCTTCATGATAATTTTCCACCTAAGACTCACTACAATTGGACTCCCTTGGTTCATCTATTTTCATATGTTCACAAATATTGATTGCATTTCATGCAAAAACAAATGAATATTTTTTTAAAAAGAAAAATAAGTGAATATATCTCATGCATAGTGTACTCAGTATTATAATACTATATAAAAGTAAAATAAAGGTCAAGAGGACTCACCTGATTCCCAAGAGAAGGAATTACTTGATGAACAATCCACTGTGAATCAACCACTCCAATTTTTTCATGTGCAGGCTGTCAGGAAAAAATAATAATAATATGATTGAAAGAACCGAGACAGTGTTAGCTCACACACACAATGTCATAATTATAGGCTGACTGAAGCCTGATTGGCACAGTATAATCAGGATCTCAGCTCAATATGGTTTAAAAGCTGGAAACTGTTCAGCTCTAAACACACAAAAAGTGATCCTTATTATCATAGATGTAATAACTAATAACAACTATCTTAGTGAGTGATAGGCATACGGATGATTCTCATGTAGATATTCATGTATAGATTTTTGAACTAATTTTTAATTTGGTGGGAATTATTTTTCTTTTCAAATATCAAGCTATTCATATCAATAAATTATTCTAAAAAAAATAGTGATATATACAACTTAATTCGAATATAATCAACATCAAGACTTGCAAGAACTTTAAAATAAAGTTAAATATTTTGTATTATATAATAGCAAGAGTACTCTAGGATTAACATAAATATGTGAGGGTACTTTTGGAGGGTTATAAACCTTGAGTTCCTAATAATTCGGTAAACAATTTTAACACCAAGGTGAACTAATTGTTCCTTTGTTTGCCAGCTTTTTGCATATCCCAACAACCTTTTCTTTCCACCCAAGTGGAACAAAAGGAAATTTACCAGCATGCTACTTGGCTTCTTGTAGAATATCCAGATTTCACAAGAAAGCAATTCAAGATTTAAGATATATTCCACTATTGGGGGGGGGGGGGGAGGAGAAGTTGGGGGCACTAACCTCTGATACACATCTTCTGAGAGCAAAATCCAATCCCCAACCATGCACCAAATCGTTCTGCAAGAGTAATAATTAAACCATTTTGTTAGGAGAAAAATGAAATAGATCAAGAAACGAGAATATACATGCTATATCTAAGAAGTAGCAAGTCCCCAGCTGTTTTCACAAGACAGGTTCATCAGAAAAACTTATTTTTGTGTGACACATGGTAGCAACAGCAAAGGGAAGGATGCTTCCTAATTGGAGACTGCAGTTAGTTAGGGAGTCAGGTTCTTTAGGAACCATCTTAGGACCTGGCATTGAGATATAAATTAGGAACTGGGAACCAAGTCTATAAATCCTGTAGTTAGTTGTGTGGGACACATGGCAGTGGCAGCGAAGGGAAGGATGCTTCCCAGTTGGAGAATGCAGTTGGTTAGGGATTCCCTAGAAACCAATTAGGAGTTGGCATTTTGATTCAAATTAGATATTGGAATAACATCACGTCTGTAAATCTTGGAGTTGTAATACAAATATAACCCAATTAACTTCTCTGTAAACAAACTATTATAAATAACATTAACAGTTGTTTATCCTAAAACATAGTGCTTCCACAAAGTTTGGAGGTTCTATTTGATAAGCCTCACCATAAACCAGCGAGGTAGTGTCAATACACTAGTCTTCTGGCAAATTTAATTGGAGCCTATCCCATTTCTCCCAAGTCAGTGTACTTATTAGACAGTCAAACCTTTTATTCAGAAACTAATGGTGTAAAGCTAATGATTATACAAGCCTCACTCTGGTGCAACTCATGAATTAAGAAAATTTCAGGATGACTCTTCTTTTTTTTTTTCAAATAAAAGTAAGACAATATTATTAACAAAGTACCAAGTGGGTACACCCATATACAAGTAATTACAAGTCAATCAAAAAATAAAAAACAGCTCCAAAATCCTCGAGCTCTCTAACATCATGACCCAAAAGCATAGAATCAAAAGAGTGAATCCAAGTATCTCTAATAACAGTAAAATCTTTCTCAATGCACTCAAAAGCTCTCAAGTTTCTTTCCTTCCAAACCGCCCAAAAAATAGAAAGTGGAATTAACCGTAATAATTTGTTCTTTTTAAACACCTCATCCCAAGCCCACAACTCCTCTCCCTCACACTCCTAGCCACAACTCTGTTTAAACCCAATAATTTGTAAACCATTGACCAAATGTCATAGGCAGCAGGGCACCACAGCAAGATATGTTACAAGTCTTCTCTTTTTTGCACAAGAAGCATGCATCTATTAATCAGAATATTCCCCCTCCTTCTAAGCATATCAACAGTTAAAATACACTCCCTGTCAGCTTTCCACGCAAAAAAAGCCACTCTAGGTGGGGCATTCGATTTCCAGATTTGTTTATGCAGAAAACAGCCAACCTCCCCGGTCCCCTGACCAGTTAACTGCTTGTAGTAAGAGGACACAGGAAAAATCCCATCTTTGCTCAGTTTCCATATTCTTTCATCCCGTACCCCAGGCTGAGGCCAGCCAGTAATTCAAGGTGACTCGTCCTTAATAAATCAAGTCAATATGAGTGAATTTCCTCTCAAGTGAACTTGTGACTTAATGCCATTTCAGACATTCTTTCACTGATGCAAGCACTGCAGAACAGGTTTTATAGCTAGAAACAGTCTATCTTTTTTTTTTCCCCAGTTAAAGCAAATGCCAGTAACTTTCAAATTCTTTCAGTTTGGTGCAAGTTATCAAATACTTCACATTCCATAAAATTTTGCCAACAGTCCAAAATATCCCGATGTGTGATAATCACAGCAAAAACCCTCAAATTTTGTAAGTATGTGAAACTATAGGGAAGTAAGGTTGTGAAATCCATGAATTTTGAAGGCAAGTGCACAACTATAAATAACCTAAACCAGATGATCCTAAAATAAGACAAACCTGAATCATGTGCCAGACACACCGCCAAGCTTCCTTAGAGAAGACGGGAGCCATAATTTCCACAAAGCTGAAAGAAACCAAACGCAAGAAAATAAGTTTCAACAGAGAAATTGAAAATAGTAAGCGCTATACTGACCGGCTTTAAAAAAAAGGTCTATAATCAGATATTCAGTTCTCCTGGGTAATAAAATGATTTTTTGCTCAATTATAACTTCGTTGGGCAAGACTGCAACCAGTTTATAAGAAAATGACGAATAACACTCTCTGAAACAAATGCTATAAATTTACTTGTAAAATTTATTGCTTCTGTTGATTTACTCCGCAGGATTTGCTCTGCAGAGTTCTATAGTACATTGACTAGATCACAATATTAAGGCAGGAGAAAATAAAGCATGATCCAAAACCAATTTGAAAATCAGAGGTTGATCTGATGTTTAAATTGGTTCCCCAAGTTTCAGTTTATCCACACACTCTTGATTAGATGTGACTAATTCCCTACCATTAAGATCCTGTTAACATCATTACTGTTGGAAAATCCCTCAATCCATATCTCAATATTAAGACATTAGTCTTACTAAAAAAATAAAATACTGGTTAGAGACTCCTATTGATATAGAGATTTGATTTGATTTGCTGTAATTAATTTTTTATTTTTTTCTCTTTGTAACTGCTGTATGTACCCATTTATATGCTCATTTGTCAATAATTCTTTTCAATCTATTTTTTTTTTAAATTCAGCTTCTCTCTAAGTTTTTCTCTAAATTTGACATGGTATCAAAGTCCTAGGCTCTTTGCTGGATTTATTTTGGCCTTCACTGCCATTTACAGCCTTGTTTTTTCGTTAAGAGAAAACAACCAAGAAAATTTGCAGGCTAGTCCGTTATCTCAGCTTCGTTCTAGTTGTCGACAAGTTACTCCGCTCATGCATTCATCCCCTGAAGCCGCTTCAAAACACATCCATCCTAGTGAATGTTTGTTCTCTCTGTGGGAACCCATGCATGCCAAAGCCGACCCCAACACATTATCTTCTCTGCTCTCTTTGTTTTTCTTTTCGCAGCCTTTATCGCCACATAGTAGACACCAATCTTATGTCCGGCTCTCTCACTAGACTTGAATCCTTTGTTGCAGCCTTAATCGTCAGGGTCCTTTCCATACCATTTTTTTTACCTAATCTTCGTAGGAGAAAATCTGACACCATTCTCGAGAAGATGTCAAACACAGCAAAGTTGACATCATCTTTCAACACCATTAGCAAAAAAGATGTACTAGAGACTAGTAGGAAAATTATATATCTTCCTCATACGAGGCAAGACACTGCATGTGCCATGAACATGGTTAGCCAATTTATACATAGCATGAGGGAGGTTCACCTTCATGCAATCTATAAAGTTAACCCTGGCAAATGAATTATATTCAAAAAAGAAGATGAATGTCCTGGAGGCATTCATCAATGCAGATTCTGCCTGTTCACCATTTGATAGGCGGTCTATTATGGGTTATTATACCTTTCTTGGAGGCAATCTTATGGTTTGAAGGAGTAAAAAGCAAAATATGATCACTAGATCAAGTGCAAAGGTAAAGTTCGAGAAAGTGGCACCTGAAGTATATAAATTATTGTGACTGCAGATAATTTTGAAAGATCTAAAAATCAAATGGGAAGAGCCAATGAAATTATTTAGTGATAACAAGTCTGCCATTATCATTACTCACAATCTTGTGCAACGTGACAAAATGAAGCACATTGAAGTAGATAAATGCTTCATAAAGGAAAAGTTGGACAGAGGCTTAATTTGTACTCCATGCATCTCAAGTAATGGTCAACTTGCGGATATACCAACATAAGGACGAAGTAGTGCAACGTTCCAAATACTTATCTGCAAGTTGTGAATGAAACATGCATATTCAACATCTTGAGGAGCATAGGAAAATCTCTCAATCTTATGTCTTGATATTAAAAAATTAATCTTCTTAAAAATATAGGATATTGGTTAGGGAATCTTATTTGTATGCCCCTTCTCAACATACAAAAGATTTTGTGTCTCTTTAAATTTCAAAATTACTCTACTTCTAAAATCAATAGTCACCTGCCAATTTTTAGGCTTCATATTGGGTTTTATTCAAGCTAATCTCTTTTACCCTAGTCTAATCAAGCTTGGTATTATCCAAGTAATTTCAACGAGAAATTTTATAAATTCTTAAAAGAAAATCTTGGAATAGCATGCACATGTGCTCTTATTCAATATTGTTTACATGGATCAAAGTCAAAACATATGGCACTTGATAATGTAGAACCCCCAATTAGCCAAGTGGCAGCTGATATTAGAATGCAGTTACAGTATTAGATGAATTTCACCAAGAGTGTACTTGATTGCACTAATAAAGCCTCTAAGAATAAACTGAAACAATTGAAACTTGAGAGACCAATTTGAACATCCAACGAAATTCAGGGGCCATAAGTGGATGGAACTTAGGCTAAAAAATATTTTCTTTTATGTACATATGATGAAATTGGATTGCCACCCCCTTAGTGCCGGTTACTAAAACAAATTTTTCAAAAAAAAAAATATTTTCTTTTACTATGACTATGAGGATGCCAAGGAATAGCTGTCCACATCAAAGCTAAGATATAGCAGATGTTTAAGGAGTTCATATAACACATTGATAGAGGACAGTATATTCTCTTTATTGCATGCATGTGAAGAAGGATCCAAACAGTGAAACTGAGAGAGAGAGAGGGAGAAAGAGCATACGCAGCACATGGAGGCACATGGGGACCAGTGCACCAGCCTGGTTTTTCTTCTGCATTCCTGTTCATCAATCCAGGCAGAAAATACTATGAACAAAAGAGCAATACAAACATATAAGCTAGAGAGACAGAGAAAGAACTGCAAATCCTACTTGTGAACTTCGCTGTCACCTCTCCGCTTTGTCATCTCCCATGTCAGTCCATTGTTAGGCTCAAGGCCTGGTTGGGAAATCTCCAGCTTATGTTTCTTAACTAATTCAATATACCTGATTATTCATATGGAGTAAATTAAAAAGAAAATATTAACATTGAAATTTGAAAAACATTACTGGTGAAAACGAATATACTTCTCTGCATTGAAGTGTTCCACTCCAAGATCTTCATCCCAGATAAAGATAAATTCATAAGGTGCAATGACATCGGGATGCAAAAACCTCTTTGCATACCACCTGCAAAAGTGTATACAGGCACGAGCTTAAGAAGTGAATGCATGACAAAACATGCTAGTTAATCCAAATTTAATGTTCAATTCTACAGAAAAAACTAAGGAAGTTTGACATACATTTTAAGTAGATGATCTATGTAAGTGGGAGTACGATAAATTTAACCTCAAAATCTTACCATTTTGTTTGTTTCTTTACACTGACATGGATTGCATTCTTGGACCACTCAAATTGGTCCCATTCAGTTGTCCGACCATCATAATGAAAAAGCAAAATCTGGAAATCCTCAGAAAACTTTAACAAAAAAGAACGCAAACATCAGTATCCTGGAAATCGAAGTCAGTGAATAGGAATTATGTACTCGCATCCATTGACTGACCTTTTTAACAGCTGCATCAATATTATTGCGCTGTTCGAACCCAACTGTAAATGTCACAAGGTACTTTGGCTTCTTCTTGAGATCCTGGACATTTCAACAAATCCAAAATGAGACTGATCTCACAACTTCGACGGTAAAATCATATGGAGAATTAGGCATCAGTGAATTGTCAGCCTCTTAGACATCTTAATGCACTCAGCTCACGCTATACCAAAAACATTCAATATGGTCCTACAATTTTGGGATTTAAAAAGTGAACTAATATGTAAGCTTTATATTTTAAGTTAGATATTAATCCCAGGTAAGCTTTATCCCAAATTTGACCATATTAAAGCTCTGTTTAATTCGTGGATAATGACTTTCCAAAAATTATTTTTCCCATTTTCCTGTGTTTGATTGGAGAAAAAGAGGAGTCAACTAGAAATTCTTTTCCAGACTACTTCCTTTTTAGAAAACGAGAAGCTGTTCTCCTTTGGCTTCACAAACTCCAATATTTCATCAATATTGCCCCTACCATTTCCCTATATCAAACGGGCTCCTTTATCATTATGTTCCTCCTCCATGAAGTGCCTTCACACTATCACTATCACTATCATTTTCTTTTCATCTTCACTGCTCTAATTTTTTCTTTGAGCTTGAAACTCTTTTATTTCGTTTCACTCTTTTTTTTTCAATAAGCTTCTTTAATTCTTTTGTTTACGAATATGACTCTAGCCATGTTTATTTCAAAAATGTTTGTAATTATAGAAATTTTTGAAGTAAAAGTCTATCAAAAAGTTACATGTGATGTGATTCATATTTTGATAGAATATTCTTTCTAAAAAGGTGATGATTTTTCCAATAAATGCCAATCAATAGAAAATATTTTCTGCAGTGTTATCCAAACAATAGAAAACCTTTTTGGCAGTGTTCTCCCGAAAACAGAGAACATTTCCTCTGAAAAGAAAATATTTAAATGAAATACTTGGCTCCAGAAATTTATTTTCTGCCAGACAAAATAGTGGCTAAATGAACTTTATAATGCAAGAAAATTTAAACCAAAAAGGAAGATTGCTCTACAAATTGTCTATTATTTCAAAAAGAAAAAAATGTTCTACACAATTTCTACTCTTCTGCAAGGTCCTAAATTCTGGGTGATCTCTGCATGGGACTCTTACAAGAGATCTGGATAAGTTCCAGAAAATGCATTTGCCAAGGTCCTGCAATTCAGAAGGTATAGCTTCTAAACTGCAGGCATATATTGTAAAGTGAAAATATTACTACGTAAAATACTAGAAGAAAAACTGCCTTTTTGACCTGCATTAAAAGAGTCATCAGAAACTCAAAGTTTTTTCCTGCTGATAGCTGTTCTAATGAAGTTATTGCTATTGTGTTAATATCACTGATTAGCAAAACAATGTATGTAATTATAAGCTCCAAGTAAAACACTACTAGTCTCTCAGAGTTCAATATCATACCTCACTAGGTTCACCCCATAATCTGCGTAAGTAAAAATCAGACTCTGAAACAACTATTCCTGGAGGTAATAACTCTGCACCGCGAGGATTTGTCGGAACATATATCTGGAGTAAACAAACCATCAAGAAGCAAATTATGATACCGAATTCCAGTCATGTGTTATGTTTAATTTGAAGGAAGGAAAATAATCTGGTCAACTATATTGACCTGAATTTTGATACAAAAAATTGCTTTCTTCCCAAGAATCTTATTAGTTCTTTGCTTGAAGGGTTAGACATAGAAAGAAAATCTACAACAACATGCTACTTTCAAAAGTGTATCATTAACCTTGAAAATAACACAAGAATATTGGAAGAAGATGACAGAAAAGAGTTGGATTCAGACCCTCCAGCTTGAGCATGTGAAGCGCACACACTTTCGTGGAACCAAAAAAAAGAAAAAAAAAAGAAAAGAATCTTGGACTCTGCTACATTAGGTAGAGGAGATGCCATTAGTCCACAAGGTTATTGGCAACAATACTATTATCAGAATTTTCAAAATTGAATTGCAACTTTATAAATGGTGAAAAAGACAAGAATGGGCCTTAAATCAACTGACACAGTGGTATATACCTTGAAAGGAATATCACAAAAAAAAAAATATTTCATATATAGACTAAATACTATAGATACCTTAGGAAATTCCTTTGAAACAGCTTCAATTGATCTGCTTCTAGAAAATCTTCTTCCATCAAACATGGCTTCATCAAAAGATGATACAATGCTTGAAGGTAAATGAATCTGCAAGATTTAAAAAAAAAATTAAACAGATAGACAAGATCAGGCATCTAAACAAAATTAAATCACACTACTGAAGGCTTACCTTTGTAAGTGAAACTGATGGTAATGCAATGCCAACAAAAAATCCAAAGACCATACCCAGAATTGTGGTAATGATAATTCTGGGACCATCATTTACTCTTCTGGAAAACCCACTGGGAATTAAGAAACAGATTTTTCAAGTCAATTTCTGCAGGGTAGGCTCCAACTTTAGTATTCCAGTTGGGCCGGATGGTATAGTGTAGAAATTTTCAGAAATATAGTGCAAAGAAATGCAAGAAAGAGGAATTCCTATCTACAACTACTTTCTAAATGACTAAGATAGTTAGCAATTCCAACCTGCGGTGGATGGTCCCCATCTTTTGTATCATCTCTGAACTCAGCTCTAGAAATCAGACACTGACAAAAACATCTCTTTCTTAAGTATCTTTTGAGGCAAATATGACATTATTCTATTTCATGAAAATATTGGTTTCCAACAAACCAAGAGTCCTGAAAATACGAAAAATCCACACTTCAAATGAGCAAGAAAAAGAAGGTACATAAAGTTTCATCAATTACAAATTATTTTGGCAATCATTTCAGTGTAAAGAAAGGATTCTCGATAGTTGTATAAAGAACTGTTAGCAAATGGGACAGAAAAGAAATGGAATTATACTCATATTTCTTAACTAATTACATAGCACAAATGTGACTGCTCACAACTGAGAAAAAGCAAGGATGTGGAAAGAAAAGATTAAATTTCAGGGATTAATTTTTTTAGTTTCTATATAGACGAGAAGCTTATAATCGATTTTAAATAACACCAATGAAGCAGCCTTTAAAATGATTTCAAGAAGTGATGACAATGTGTTCTAAGGACCTAACCACCTATTCATTATATATTCCTCATGGTTACTTCAATGATGCAGGGAACTGAGAGATGTTTTGACTAGGGTACCATTCCAGCTACTCTTGTCCACTGCTTGTAGGTGCCTAGTACCAAAAAGAACTAGAATTGACAAGCGTCCACAGAATGCCCACTACAGCAAGAGTACTTTGCATGTTACTCACTTCAATATTAAGTTTACGGCATCTATTCTATGCTAATATTACAAAGATCACTATTCATCTTTTTGTGGTTGTGAAACGGTTGTTCAACATTGTGGCATGGCAAAAGTTGGACTAGCAATGCAAAATAACAATTCTTACTATCTGTAAGAGGCACTATTCAAGCAGATTGAAAAATGCATTTATTGAATTGGGTTGGGTTTCTCAATTAGCAACAACACTCAGATTAAAAATGAAGAAAAGAGAAATATATGCTTATGGTTAGTAATTCAACATCCGTCCATGTATGAACAAAAGAGAAAATTAATGTGAAGACTAACATTAAAGATACAAGGGACAAAAGCAATCAACAGTACTTTCCTTTCTAGCACGATCGCCCACTAAGCTTTTCAGACGGATGAAACTATAAACAGAATTTGTTCATCCAATTGATGATTCTACTATATTTTTATTAAATAGACGGAACGTGGCACCTTACTGCACGGTTAAATTAACTGAAAATAACAGGACAAACTCCGATGCATTCAAATTCACATTTTAGTAAAATAATCGAAATCAACGGCTAGCAAAGCGTAGTGAACAAAAGCTATGTTATTCTTAAACTGAAAAATTAAAAACCTTTCACACTTTAAAAAAATCGCAATGCTCTCATATCCAGAGAAAGTTAACATACAGACTCAACATTCTCGATCTGCCTTATGGAAATAAACAACAACAAAAAGGAAAAAGCACTTGTAACAGTTAGTTTACATAATCTCAATAGCAAATAGAAGTCGTAAAACCGGACGAAACACTCAAATCAAATAAAAAAAAATGAAGAAGAACGAAGCTGAACCTAAAATCACGTAACAAATTACATCCTACAATTTGAGAGAAAACATAACACAACAACGAAGAGGA